AGCAGCCATAGTATTGCCTCTCTTTGAACATTTTCTGTTAAAGATAAATATGTTTTTAATGTTTTGCTGTTTTGTAATGTCAAGGTGTCACCCTAAAAAGGTGTGCAGATATAATATACTTTTTAGCATCTTTGTCGTTGTGGTTGCCGATTCCAGGAAGTGTAAATTTCAGTTTATTTTTTTAAACATTGGTAAAATCCAGATTTATTAGGGTACAATTTCATTATTTGATTTTATTGTTATGGCTGCTCAGCCTGTGTTAGGGAGTCAACAAGACCTGAAAAAAGTTGTTTCTAACCCGTTGCCTCACCCTTTTGTCCACTTCACGGTCATGTGACCTTAGAGTCTTTTGGGGAATTTCTTAAAACAACAATGTTGTTGCCCATGAGAATTTTTTTTTTTTTAACATAAGAATGAAAGTTGTTTTAAAAATCTCTCGGTAAAGAAGTGGAATAGTTAATATAGCTACAGTGCTATTAATTTAAAGCGGATCTGTGTGAAACTTGTAAGTTTTGTTGTAGTTGGTAATACTAAAAACTTTAATGAAATCAAGTGTAAAGAAAAAAATACTGGACTGTAAAATTGTAGCTGAAATAGACTGTTCCAGGCATCTCTCTTCCCAATATTCTCTGGTGTGTGGGGTTTGGTTTTGGGATTTTGGATTTTTTGGGGGGGAAGGGAGGATGTTTGGTGTTTGTTTATTCTTTTGGGTTTTGTTTTTTTTTCCTGACATCCTCCATTTTAATTTCATAGTTGAGCTGTAATGCAGTAACTTGTAGCACTTAGCCTGGAATAAACTTGAGGTGGATGCTGCCTTGGTTCCTCGCTGCGGAGCCAGCAGGGCCGGGTGCTTTATGGAGATGCGCCCCACCCATAAGGCAAGGAACAGTACGAGTTTTTGCGTGATCCCCGTAGGCGGTTTAGAGGTTTGCAATGACTAGTTTACAACTTCATGCATTTTAACCTCATTAGCTAGAAGGTCAGTTGTCGCGGAACCTGTTTATTGGGCATATTTGTGAATTCTTGAAATTTTTGGCAAACCTTTGCAGGAGTGGCCGAAGCAGAAGCGTAGAACAGTGTTGCAGGTCATTCAAAGTGGAAGTGATCCTCCTTTGCTCTTCTGCTCCCTCAGGTAACGCAGGCTTCAGGTTTGACTTCTGCCTGGGAAACTGCCTTTGACTTCCGTGGGAAATGGCCTGTGGAGTCTCAATCCGTTGATAAAATTCTGTCATTTATTGTAGAATTATAAGAAAACTGTAGTTGTACAGTTCAGTTATACTTTTCATCGTGTTCAAATCAGACCTCTTACACTTTAAATGTTTGCACAGACATTTAGACAGGTGTTGGCTAAATATTTTCATTGGAAACGATGACCCTAGAGTTATCACTGTTTTGTTTTAGAGACTGAGAAAATACTGCTAGATCTCATCCTTTGTCATTTTAGATATTTAAACACAGTGTACTCATTCAGTTTTCATTTATACTACTAATTGTTTCATTTATGGAATGAACGTTTAGATTCCTCTCTGTATTTTTTGGTTAATTGCCAAACATTGTAAAGAATGAAATCTGCTTATGACATACGGACTGTTACAGTATTATTGTTAGTATAAAATTTCAGTTATTATTTTAATGCTGTCCTTATGTGCATTACAAATAAGCCTGAATATTATCGTTCAGAATTTCTTAAATAAAATTTGAGCTTACATATATAACTGATGTTTTGTTGTCCACTGAGGCTGACTTAATTGTAATTATCCAGTACTTATATAAATGAGGGATAAGGGTTGCTAACATCCTGTGGGAAAGAGGGGGAATATTATTCTTATTTTTTGTATATTATTAAAATGACCAGATGCAAGCATTCTCATTTTCAGAGCCAGAATTTCTCAAAAATAATGAATATTGGACATAAGGATGCTACTCAGAAGAAAAGCATAAACAAACTATGCTAGAAACTGTACAGCTTCCAAGGAGAGAACAAAATTATTCTCAAGCCCTCTGGTGCACTTGTCTCTTTCTTGATTTGCCAGTAAAACTACTGTTTTATGTACTGTAAAATATATAGCAACCTTGAAAGATCCTGGCAATCAGCTTGTGTCAGGCTGGAGAGACGGCTCTTGGGCTGTGAATTCCGCTCTGTTGTTGCTGTATGCTTTTTGAGTAAGAAACACAAGGATTTCTTGGAAGTTTAGGAAAAAGAAAAGTTATAAGACATCAGTAAGAGCATTGGCATACCACTGACAATAAAAGATGTCCAAAGAATCAATTAATATTTCTTCCAGTGCTCTTTCTTCCTGTGCAGTATGTGTATGATACATACAGCCTGGCAGTGGCCCTGAGGAGGGGGAGCACAATCCTTTTCCTTCATGTTGAATCATAAAATGTAGATGCTTCAGATCCAGAGGTAGAGTTAGGAACATTATTTACATTATTTTATGCGCTTAAGAAGCTTCCGGTAACAGTTTTGAATTTCGGTTATCAGATGTTTAGTCAGACAAGTCACAGAGCCAGGCCTGCCTTGTATCGGAAGCATGACGCTGCTCATTTTCACATGAAGAAGGTGTCGTATGATATTTCTTAATCAAATCCATTTATGTTTCTCTCTCTTTTACAAAAGTAAGCTGTCAAAACTGCTGAGAAGTTGCATTTTTTTTCTTTGTTTAGGCTGCTACCAGTGGGAGATGACTTTAACGTCAATTGTTAGCATGGTAATGCTGGTTTGACCTTTGTGGTAGAGCAGTGGGTGAGCCAGACCATGACTGGCTGTCTTTTGCCAACCTGCTGGGTAAAAATGCTTCATTCCAGCCCGTTCAGTCAGTTTGCTCTTAGCTAGAAATTGCTTGCAGACAGCGGGTCACATCATAGATCACTTCAGCTTGTGTCGTGATGGCATTGGATGAACTTTTTCATTCCAGCCAAATGTGTATTTACATCATGTTCTGCCATTTTTAACGGTATGCTTTGATGTTCTCTCCCTTTTTGGCTAGAAGGGCACTTGTGTTATTTCTGCTGGCCTATTTGGAGGCAGGGAGAGAGAAATCACTATCACCATGCACTAGTGCATGCATTATAAGCTGGGTGTCTGTACAGTTACTGCAGATTGTCTTGCATGTGCTTGAGGTGTTCCTCTTGTTACTGAGAGGGATGGTGACCTTGTTGAGTTGACAAGCTTCTTGCACAGTTACATTCTTCGGGGTAGGAAATGCTGATGCCAGCACCAGCATTTCTTTCTTCTATGCCTTTCCCTAAACCTGAGCATAAAAAGAATGTTAGAATTCAATTGTAGTTTTTTGTTCATCCCAGGTTGGATGTTAAATGAGGAGAAGCTTGATGCCAGAGTGACAGAGGCCTTTCTTTTGATTCAACTGAGGTTTTTTTGGCAGTCAAATGCTTTTCCCCCATTAAAGGTGAAGCCTGACTTCGTTGGAGAGCAGCCAGTGTTTTTCACTCGTCATAAACTGGCTTCTCCGGTTGGTGACTGGTGGTTAAGGATTCTTCAGGTGTCTGTCAAGCTGTTTACTGGCTGCACTTGAGCAATGAAATTATTTCGGCTGGTGTCATATTTTAGAGCAGCTGCTATAGCTGGCCACCCGCAAATGGCCTTTTGGAGTAAGATTCATCTTGCCTGATCTCCAAAATTCAGCTGAGTTAGTTGTGTGCATTCCCTTTATAGCTGGTGAAAAGAAAATGGCATTTACAGACACTGTTTTTCCCGCCTTGGGGTAAAAACCTGAAATCAGATAAGTTATTCTTTACAAACATCTGTCTCCATTAACTGAAATGTCTGGAGACTGCTTGCAAGGCTGTGGCAGGAGAGGAGAGGAGAGGATACTCCTGCTCGTTTCTCCCTGGCTTTCCCTAAAGATTGGTACAGACTGCAGTACCTACAGAAAACACTGCTTAGAACTGCAGTAGGCATTTATATAAATGAAAGGCTGACTGGTCTTCACTTTCAACAGCTGATGGTCTAGACCAGTTGCCTTTTATCCTGTTGGTGCTTCTCAAGAGGCAGATGAGATACTTGCAGACTTAGCTGCAAAGGTGGCAGAAAGCTTCTGCTCCTGAAAATGGCAGGCGGCTTGCAACGCAGGTGAGGCTGAGGTATGATGTGGTCACTGCCGGTAGATATTTTTGTCTAAAAGTGCATTCATGAGTTAAGAGAGCAAAAGAACACGCCTCTTATAATGGACTTGATTTGAGCATGAGGTACAAAAGCAGGTAGTTCTGCCTTTTTGATTAGCAATGAATATCTTGTATATATCATCCTTTTCTATTTAAAGGAGATTTTTCACAGGCAACTTCTCTGCTGGAAGTCAATAAAGGTTTTTGTCTGTTTTCCACTTGACTTTTATTTACTTCTATACCATTTCTCTCCTCGTTTCCCTCACCAAAATACCTTTTCCTGTTTTCCATTTTTTCTCTCTCTTAATTACAGTATTTCTGGAGAGCTTTCTTTAACCTATTTTAGTAAGTATTATAATTAACACTTGGCACTGTATTACAAACAGAGTTTTATTTTTCTTTTAGCTGAACATGCTGTACTTCAGTTCTTTGACTGGTATCATGTATCTAACATGTATCTATAGAACAGTACACTAGTTATATACTAGTTCAGTTAATGAGCAGAAATACTTTATCATCTTCTTATTGGTGGTAAATGCTTTTATCTGCAGAGGGCTTTTTGTATGCTCATTTTATCTATTCCTTATCCTTTATTGAATGTTTAGCCAAGAGAGGAAGTAAACCCTGTCAAATAAACTAAAATTGCTTTATTTCTTAGCTTTTTTTTTTTTTGATCTGTAATGTGTGTGCAGTTTAGAAGGCTTATCTATGCAGTGTTTTGTCTAAGCATTTAATGTTTATGAAACACAGTAAGCGAATTACTTTTGAACCGTATGAATAAATTTTAAAATACCTTGGAGGAGACGCACACACTTAAGTGCTATGGTGAATGGTTTTGAGGAAGCAGATTCTAAATTGAACACTTCCTTTTGCAGGCCCAGATCGCCTTTCTTCAAGGTGAAAGGAAAGGACAAGAAAATCTGAAGAAGGATCTAGTGCGAAGAATCAAAATGCTGGAGTATGCGCTTAAACAGGAAAGGTATGCTGCTTTAGTGATGAGTACATGATGAAGACATTCTCAAGACAGATACTTTCTTTTGCCTTTGTATTTGACAAAAACAATAAATATTTCTTCTGTATACATTCAGTTCTCAAATTGTCAAATATTATTATATGAAATAAACCTAGTAGTCGAAATGTCTGCATTATGGTAAAAACAATAGCTAACATAGTATAGCTCTAAAAACATGCAAATAAAACCTACAGTTGATCAATGATGAATACTTTTTCCCTGGTATTCCACCTAACTGTATAGATTATACCCCAGAATTACAGTGTAATCTCTTTTTGTTCAAAGTACTAGCTTTGTTTAATAATGTCTGACAACTGAAATCTTGAATAGCTGACTTGAGTGTAGTAAATGACTAGTTTTTAATCTTGCTAACTTTTTAGTCTTTTCAGTGTGATAGACTCTACAGGCATATCTTCTGGAGACTAGTTATGTGAGGAGTAAAAAAATGTTTGTGTTCACCAGTTAATCAAATGTCTGTTTCTTTGTTCACGAGGATTTCAGTAGAAGTACCCGGGCTGCTTTACTGTTTTATTCTTGAGTATAATTTCCTGTTGTTCTGATCCTTGAGGCAAACAAATTGGGTTTTTTTTTTTTATCATGTTTCCAGAAGTCTTTCTGTTCAGCTGATTTATTTTGGGCCAAGTTTAATTTTAAAACTTTTTTGTGAGTAAAATGTCTCTTAAAACTCTTGACGAAAGAGTATATTTATGGCACTGCTGCAAAGCAATCATTGCTTACATACCGTTTTCCTATCAGATAATTCCTACTTCTCTTTAATAAAATATTAATAAAATAAACCTCTTTTAAAGAGTTTGTATTAGTAGAAGTAAGACTAGAAAGAGACATATGCAAATGAGGATATTGCTGCTAGCTAATTTGAAAAGGACACTAGTAGTTGTACATCACTGTATTGCATTTAGATTTGCTCATTTTATATGGGCTGCTTCAGCACATGAGACATGCCTTGCACCATCCAGTTTGGCTCTTTCCAGCAACCAGTTCACCCCCTAGCATGGAGCTGCAGCCTGTTTCCTGGCCAGCAGTAGCCTCAGGGCTCCAGCAAACCTGCTTCCCCTTTGGGGAGTTCTCAGAGGAATGCTTAAGGTAGATACCCTTTTTGCCCAGGCCTTGTTAAGGTACTGAACTTACATCAAATGACACAGAAAAATATCAAATGTCTGCATAATGGAGATTGCAGTTTATAGCCGTGGAAAGGCTTACATTTGAGGCTTGATTATGAAGATTAGAGTCACTTTAAAAAGACAGGGGCAATGCAGTATGTTCTTGTGCAGTTAAAGAGATGCTCTAAGGTATATAAACTCAGTAAGATTTCTTATATTTCAAAACTGAGGGAGCTATTTCTGATTACTTAGGAATATCTCTAGTACTTCATGTTCACAACCCAGATAAATTAGCAATTTATCTCAAATTATCAGAATATGTAAATACATTTCCATGTGCTATCAGAGAAGCTTTGTAAGATTAAAAAAAAAAAAAAATCAAACTTCCATATGGATAGAGAAAACGCCCCTCAGTTGCATTCAGTAGGATCCACCTAAATTAGGACATTTAAATCCTAATGCAGCAGTCACTGTCAGGATTAGGAAAAAACACCTGGTGGTTTCTTATTTGCAGTTTTTACATAGGTATCTTTTATCTTTTGTTGTCTTTTTTTTTCCTGCAGCGTATGGTGTTAGCCTTGGTTACTCAGGCCGGTAGGCTACAGTCATCTGATCTGATCCAATTTGACAGTTTCAGTATAGTGTGCAATGGTTTTTAAAGTAAATGTGATACTTGTGAATGGTGTGTGCTGGAGACAGCTACTTGTAAGAGTTTGTGGTTTTAAACAGGAGTATTACTTGCCAGTTTCTGAAGAAACAGTCTTGTATTTCTGCTGGAAATGTCTCCCAGCAAGTGTTCTTGCTTGATACTTAAAAGAATGGCAACACACTGAGCTTGGAAGCACTGCTCTCTTTCCCAGCATTTTCCTAAATCAGCTGTCAGCCAGGTCAGGCAGTAGACAGTTGGGATGCTGGCTTTTTCCACTGGGATCTCAGAGCTGGGAAATGAGATCCTACAAGGTAGGAGGAAAACATTTCTGGTCAAGTTAAGGGAAGGTTGGTGTGGGTGAGAGGGGGCAGGGAAGGATTCCTGTGTTCCTTCATTTCTGTCCTGACCTTGCAGCACACCAAGTCTTGCTTAGCTAGATGAAATAAGTTATGAGTAACAGGACAGAATATGAAATTGTGGCCCAGAGTAGTCCGTGTGCACAATGTCCTCAGGAAACCATGAGCAAGAAATGAGCGATATTGGTTTTCTCAGATACATGCTTTTATGAGCTGCTGTTCTGTATAGTGGGTGTTCAGTGTTTCTTTCATCAACCCAATGTTTTCAAAGTTTACTATAAATAAACAACTTTGGAAGCATTGTCATTGTTCTCTATTTCATAGCACTTATGTAATTTTATAGTGGGTAAGGTAGAAAATGAGCGTTACTTAGATTGTCATGTTTTTCTGACATTTAGTTTAATATTCAGTCTTCATGTTAGTAATTGTAAGATTACTTTTTTGTTGCGTGTATAGGAAACTCAGCTATTTCTACTGAAGAGTCTTAATACACTAAATAGCAAAGAGCTTAGAAGGAGGTAGTTAATAGTTAAGCATTATCATTTGTTCAATAACAGTTTTGATGTAGTTTTGCCAACATCCAGTAGATTGCAGTGTGAGGCTGTTCACAGTTGAGGGTTACTTTTTATTACTTTATCAATATTTGCTCCACCACCAGTAAATTGCATTGTTTCCTCTGGATTTTCAGAAGCTAGCTGAAATGTGCTGTTTCTCTGAAGCATGTGTCCTATTTCATCTAGTCTAGCTCATTTCCTGTCTTAACATATTTTAACCAAAGAACTGGACTCCTGAGCCATGTCTCTAGAAATACGTGATTTAATTTTATGTTGTTTTCTGTACTGGTGTGTCTGATCAGCATAAGGCTGGCGCCTTCTCCCCTGGGTAGAATATCTCACCGTGCTGTTCCTGGCAGTCGTTCTTGTTTATGTCTCTTGGTTTGGCGGCGGCTCCCAGATCTTCTACGGATGTTTTGGCACGCTCCCCCAGCGCAGCTGGATCAGATGCTTCAGGTCTGGCGACAGATATTTCCAAGAAATAGTGGCCTTTTTTGATTGGGATCAAACTTCTTTCTGTGTGAAGTATTCAGAAAAGTTTCACTGCTCTCAGTCTTAGAAAATTTAGAAGGATGAAAGCTTTTAGCGTTTTCCGAAGCAACTCTTGAAGTGTTGTGGCAGCCATGTTGAATGTCTTCAAGCACTGTTCGCATAGAAGACACATAGTTTAAAGAAAATACTGCTAATCAAAAAAGGAGAATTGTGTAACAAAGTGCAAAAGCCAGAGCAGTGGTAATATTCATACTTATCTGAGTAAGGACATCTGACCAGTAGCATAGTTTCACAGCCCTGAAATAGCTTTCATCCAAACAACTTGAAGGCTAGTTTTCAGATGCAGAATACCTTCTATACAGTTATATCCTTCAGCTAGTTATTTTCAAGTCATTTTTCAGTCTCTGCATACTGTTGATAATTCAGAAGTAATTTTTGGAAATTGAAGGTAAATCATTCAAGTTGAACAAGTTTCAGATAATAAAGGCTCTGATTTGTTTCCCTCCTTCTTCCCCTGCCCTAAAACCACCGTCCTTGGTTTTGACCAGATGATACAAAGGTTGGAGAAACTTTGATTATTCTTTATGCTTATTTACAGAAAAAATACATTTGCTCTTTTTTGTGATAATAGTAGCTCACTGCTGTGGTGGCTGAACTGCAGAGGGCCAGGTTAAAGCCATTAACAGGGAGACTATGTGATTTCTGAAAAAGCGGAGAAATTAAGCATGACAGGTGGGCAGGAGATACTCTGTTATTGTAGAAATAGATTAAATACAAACATGCTAATGGAATAAGCTATATTCAGAGTTTATACAGAAAAGAATTAGTTTCTTCTGTGAGAAGTTTCATAGTCTCTGATTGCAATATGTGTAACTGGATGGTCAAGACTCTCCCTTCTAGTCTTAAAGTCTGAATTGTTGTGTTCAGCCCTTTCCTTAGTGTGTTTTAGAAAGAAGATGATTGTTTGTCTTTCATACTTGTGACATTTTCAACTGTATCATAAGAAAGTTTCTAATAATAAACCTTATACTTGCTACCTGAAGAAGTGTAGAAAATATTTCCTTGATGGAGTTAGCTATCTATATTGATTGAGTTTTTTTTTTTTTTAAAAAAAATATTCCTCTGAATTTTAGAAGCTGACCATAGCTGAAAGTGAGTTCACTGAGTCAAATACTCTGACATGATATTCATGTTTCTGTTTCACATCTAACTGGTGTCTTGCTCAGATACCTGAATTTATACTAATTGATTCTGATTAATTCAGGGTTGAGTTTGGCATTAGGTTTTTTTGTCATTTTGTGCAGGCAAAGGTTTATGGCTTTTTGTTTTTAACTTTCCCAGCAATATTAAAAATAAGGATTGCTTTTTGGGATTGTCAGCTCCTCAATTGCCTGTCTTCATTAGGACATGATTCTTCTGCTGTACCTGTATTTCTACTGGTCTCTGATTGTGATATATAAAATTAAATCCTCTGAAAGATGAAGTCTTAGTCCAGCTTGGCCTTAAAATAAATCCAAGGGCCAGTGGTGTACAAGACCATGTAATCTAGGTTATCCCTCTTGAAGTAAAGAAGAATAACAAAGGGTTTAAAAACTGTTGCATTATGAGGAAGAATCAATTAAAAAACCCTGCTACTAATAGTTTAGAATGTGGATAGAATGAATAATGTCACTTTGCTGAACTGATTTTATAATGCCTATAATGAAGAGGGGGGAAACTTCAATAAGAAGAAATAATATTACTGTTGATTTAAGAAGGAAAGAAATTTTTAAAAAAAGAGCATATGCAGAGTTAAGAGATTGGATTAAATATACTGAGAAGTTTAAAAAAATGCAGGCTGAATTTTTGAAAAATGGATTTTGGAGAACAGGTGAGAGATCTAAGGAATAGGAAAGGTACAAGGGATGATCCTTTCAGTTAACCTAGCAAACATCTACTTTGGTTCTTAGAGTGAAAATTATTAACAGGAGTTTGATAAGAAAATTAGCGAATGCATAGAGGATAATGGAACCTTATATAAGATCCATGAAGTAAGAGCAAATGCCTCATGCCACAAAACTCACTGCTCTCTGAAATTATTTGCAGGAATTGAGTAGAGCACAGTATAAAGTTGCTAATCCAGATTAATGTCTTGAGATTTGCTCACTTTTGGTAAGTCAAATCAAAACGGATTAAACATTAGGCTCACTTGGATTGGTGACAGCATAAAAACTTGAAGTTTTTGACAGAGTGTAGTGTTTAAAGTTGGTGAGATAGGTTAGTGACGAGAGTAGAGGATTTTTTAGTTCTTCATTAGTCGTTACATTTTATTAGTGATGGTGGGGGAAAAAGTATACAGAGCATCAGTATTTAACAATAATGAAATGCAGTTGTTTTAACAGGGTGACATCTCTCTGCCGGTGAGATGTGGGAAACAGATAGTTGGAAAGGGAAAGATAAATATTTTGTTTGAGCATTCAGCTTTAATTTTGTTCTATTCTTGGTTCTTTTCTGCACTGACTGAAATGTTTATCCTTCACTTACTGCTGTCAGTACATTTCAAGTGCATCCTTTCTCCCTTGCTTGCTGGTTGCTTCTCAGCTGAGTTAGAGCTTAGTGCTCTGGCTCCTGAGGAGGAAGTCAGTTCCTTCATCTGTCTTTGTTGCTATGCCTACAGGCATTTCTTCACTTGTCACTTAGCCGCCTCATCCAGAACTAAATGTTTATTATAATTAAAATGCAACTGGATTAGTAGTAAACTAGTACTGTCGATACTGAAGCATAAGAATTACCAAGCATTGCTTCCCTCAGCAACACTTTGTTAGAAGTAATGAGTTTTCTTGATGAAATAGGGAAAGGCAAAAGAAAACAGTAATGTAATGAAGATGTCTGAGAAGCAATCAAGAGATGCAGGTAACTTGAGAACATTATCTACAGTTGTTCTTGATACAGTCATTTGAGCTTAGTGAGACTTGCCTCATACGATTGTGAAGTGTCACACCCATTAATTTTTTTAAAAGCCAATTTTAAGTGGAAAAGTTTCCTTGTGAGTAGTGGAGCTAATGAAGCCCATTTTCATGTTGGTATATGTGAGGGTTTTTTGTTTTTGTTTTTTTCCTTTTTGTCTTTTGTAGGCTGTATCTTGCCACCTTACACCTAACTGTACATTTGCATTGGAGCTGTGTGTGTGTGCTACTTGGTCGTCTGACCGCTGCCAAGCTGCATGCCCAGCATTGCCTGCATTCTTCCCTGCCTTTCGTTCAGGGTACTCGGGAACCAGTATGAGTACCACTTTTCTACCCAGTTATGAATGTCTACAAAACTTCTGTTGAGCCATCTAAATTTTCGTGTTTGGTAGAAAACAATCATAGAGACAAAAGTGACAGTGAGTGTGAGAGAAGGGGGGAACAGATTGCAAAACTGGCTAAGGCTCTCTTTGCCTCAATTTCTCTGTTACTGTGTTATAAGACTAATGAATCTTTAATAACTTATATGTGCGTTTGTAATGCTGTGCTACTGTGACATTATTTTGTGTGTTGAAAAGTCTATAGACAGTGACTCTGTAGGATGAAGCTTTTCAAATTAAAAAGCATTTCCCTTTTTCTTCTAGCTACTCTTATTGTCATTGTCTAGCATGCTTTGTGGGACTTATTACAATAGGCCTTCTGTAGGCTAAATATTTTTCAAAGAGAAGTCTCCATTTTTGAACTTGGTCAAGTGGCAGATCTAGCAGCTTTAAGAGAAACTGGTGTCAATGGGCTACTGTCAGTGCTAAATCTCATTTAGATTAGTTCTGAGTGCCTGCTGCTGTTGGGAAGCACAGCATTTTGAAGAATAAAACTGAAGTTTGCTTAATTGAGGTGACAATATGAGATATGAAGTAGGTGGCACTGAACTGACATGGATAGTAAAAGTGTTTCATAGTGGATGGCTAAAAAGAAAGGGAGAGGCGATGGGGAGGGAAGCAGAGAGTAGCCCATGCCTACACAGAAGGAACCTTTTCTGTAGCAAGAACATTTTGTAAAATCTGCAGCCTACTGATCCCTGTGTTTCATCAGTATTCACTTTGCAATTATGTGTCGACCTCGGAAAAAATAATTAAGCAAAATTACATATCTCAATTCCTGCTTAAATTATTTGTTTTGTTCCTAGCCTAGAAGAAAGGAGTGGCTTTTCAAGTGAAGACAGGTGACATTTATGTGTTTAGAGATACCCTTTAAATGTGCTAATAGTTTCTTTTTTGTTTGTTTGTTTTTTTTTCAGGGCTAAATATCACAAATTAAAATATGGCACAGAATTGAATCAGGGAGATATGAAGCCACCAAACTATGATTCTGGTAAGAATTTATTAAGAAAGAGTTCATTACTGACATAAAAGCTTAACTGTGGTTTGTGCAAATGCTGAAATGATCGTGTTGATAAAATAAGCCACTTAATGGAAGCAGTGGGAATAGAGATAATTAATAAAGACTGTATTTTACTCTTGTAAAATTAAAAATAAATGCTAATGCTCTGAAAGAGTCAAATGAGTTTAGATTTTAAAAAAACGCAGACCCAAACCAATAGACTCTTCCTTAGTAATGTGTATGGATGTTTTGGAACAGGCAGATACTAGATTTATAGCTATAGAATCCTTTTATCTTTGAATAATTCTTCTGAATAAAAAGTTAATGGCAAAGAACATGAAATGTATAGTACATAATTTTTTGTTTAATTACCTCAGTGGGATTCCAGGAGAAAAATAGTGAAAGTGCATATTAGACATAAGTGAGAGTTTGGGAATGGGGAATTTATTTACAAAATTCCAATGATCATTGGAAATGCATACAACTAACTTCAGTGCTATGCTGTGAGAGGACAGTTTTTCACCTTGGTCTCTGGAAAGCTGTTTTGTTTTTCTAGAGGTTGCATCTCCTACTTCACACAAATAGTTTTAAGCACTGAACTTGAGGAATTAAGAATTTAAATTACTTCCTTTCATCCCTCTCACTATCTCCCTATCCTTTCCTCAGGAAAAAAAAAAAAGAACAGGTACGGTAGATCTGGTTATAGGTCAAGCCCTTGCAAGGAGAAGTAATATGTGATGATTTTTGTATCTCAGCCCCCTGGTGCTCCTACTACAGCAATGAAACTAGAACCACCTGTACATAAAGGAAGAATATAAAAAGATTGCAGACCTCAGCTCTGTCACTTGGTTTGTGGAAGGGATGGTGTGGTTTACAGTCATGGTTAATTCTTACCTCATTGGATTCAGAAGGTCATTAAAAACAAACAAACAAATCCAACCCCACACCAACTGATGAAACTTTACACCAGACTTTTCTTGTCCAAGATACAATGAAATTTTATTTCACATTATTATCAAGGTTATTTCCTTAACTGAAGAAATAGTTTAATTTGATATTACTAAGGGGAAGACCCCAATCTGTATCTGGACCGCTAGAAAACTTTGTCCTGATGACACCAAGATCCTAGATATCCCTGACTTTTGTTGCTTCTCAGGATGCAGCTATAGCACGTTGCTTCGGTTTCCAGCTGAGGAATGTAGTGAAGGCCTGGCTTGCCCAGCAGAGACGTAGCCAGTGCATTATTTCTGCAAAGTGAACATTAATGGAATTACCTTTGTTAAAATTCCATTATCCTGATTTATCCCATTGCTGTCAGAAATGTACACTTTTGTTCCATATCAAATCTGGACTGATTGAAAATACACACTTAAAATAGAAATTTGGTTATCATGCTTCTTTGGAGTTGTCTTTGATAGATACTTACTTGTAAGTCCGTGTCTTCCCATCGCCCCTGTTTTTGCTACCGAGCCAGGAAAAAAACATGAAAGTGTTTCTAGTAGTTCTTCCAAATAGGTCTGTGTTGTTTGTTTTCTTTATGTTCTCTTGGGGAGTCAGAAATACAGTTTAGAAGAAAAAGTTCAATCTCCTGATAAAGGATTGTCCTTTTTTTTTTTTTTATTATTACTACTTGTATTTTCTGCTATTATTTGCTCATAATGCAAATTCCTTCATTCTCATCTGTAAACCGCTGTTACTGCTAGTGGTCATCAGTTCTGAGGACACTAAGCAAAAGAGAATTCTTGCCTGTAGATATACTTAATAGTGCCTTTAGAAGAAGAGGTTTTGCTTTCAAAAGGAATTTTCAGGCAGATTTACCTCAGTCGTGTTTTAATTCTTATAGACTGAGCTTTGGTAGTTGTACGTTGGGTCCAGCTGTGTTCAGTTGTCATCAGAGAATTGTTGCGCAATTTATTATTTCCTATGGTTGCTCTTAAATGGATTTGTGAATTTGAGATGGATAAAGTTCATATGGCTCTCCTTGCATGTGAATTCTGATTGGTCTTTGATAGTTTCTTTGTGGGTGTGTGTGGTGTTAATTCAGTTGTTTAAAGGTAAATTACTTCCCGGTAAGGACAATAGCTTTCCCACATGAGGTATCAAGTTACTCATAGGATTATACCACAGGTTTTTCTGGTTCTTAATTTTTGTTTACACAAGAAGATTGTTCATCCTTCAATGTTTGGACCACAAGGATTTCAAGTTTTGCAGAGGCTTTCATAGGTAATAAACCAAGATCTTTTATCTTGGGAAGCATATGCTTATGTATCTCCTGCAGGAGAGGGAAAAAACCCACCGTCATGTAGTATGAAGCTATATATAGAATAAATGTCTATCTGTTGGTTGCCAGTGTTCAGACAGGTTTCTCGCCAGAACAGCCACGTAATTTTTTTGTGGATTTTCCTGGAGTAGTACTGTTTGGATGCAAATTCATGGTTGTGGAAAACGTGGTGAAAATTTTTCATCAGCTTTTTCAGGTTAAAAAAAACTCCAAACAACCAACCCCTCTTGTGTTTTTTTTTTTCTCCCTTCCGCAAAACTGATACAAATATGGATGAATTTAAAGTTCATGTGAGTAGATCTGTTGGTTTTATGTTGAACGGTGAAATAGTAAGGAAATTGGTTGGACAGTAAGTTGTAAATAGATATCATGCTGCAGTTGCATTTGATGTTGTTAGCAGTTAAAGATGATGTATTTAAACTTAGATTATGAGCAGCAGTTATGTTGGAATGTTAATGCAAAAAGGGACCTCCAGATTGTCTGTATGATTATGTGCCCTTAAAGAAAAAGGAACAAGATGGGTCTTTTGGATGTGAGACAGAAGGGAAGGCACTGATAACTAGTGGAATTTGCTCTCATACCGTGGGATGTGCCTGACAGTCTTTATGTATGTGTAGTACTACAGTTACGTGTTGTGTGCATTTTTTTCTCTCGATTATTGGCACTTTGAATCTTTCATTTTGTTATTAACCATTCCTAATCATTTTAGGACAAATCACATTTGTCCTTTCAAGTGGACAGGCATCTTTTTGAAAAGTAGGACAAGGAACAAAATGTTTGTAATTATTTAATCTTTTCCAGATGAAGGGAATGAGACAGAGATTCAGCCACAACAGAACAGTCAACTAATATGGAAACAAGGACGACAGCTGCTAAGACAGTAAGTGTTGAAAAAAGGACTCAAATAACGAATGCAAGGGAAAGAATCTGGTAACGAAATGTGATGATGATGGTGTTTGATTTTTTTTTTTTCCCTCTGTTAGATTTTCTTTCAAGAAAAGTTAGTGTGTGAGATGAAGTTCATTCAGCTTCTGCCCTACTTTTCCTAGATTTTTGAAAAATTTTAATATTTCAGAACTTCAGATGAGAAGCCTTGTCAAATCACAAACACCTAATCTCCTTTGCTTTCACTGAGTGTAATAAAACAGTCTGCTTGGGAGAACAGTGGGTCATGACACTTTGCAATTCTTTTTGCATTTAAAAAGCAACACACACAAGTAATTCTGTAAAGAGCTACATAAAATAAAAATAACTGGTGTTGGAGAGGGATAACTTTTTTTTTGGCGTGCTTGAGGTGCAGAAAAGACTAGTATCCAGAAGGTCAGACTGGAAGTTGTCTAATTCTCAGTTCATCTCAATGAAGGAAAGGTCTGTTAATCTAAATTCTTGAATTGTGGTCATAATGAGTTAATTTCCAAGATATTTAGTCACATTTTTGTGTGGTTTTTTTTTGCCTTGGTTACAACCCTTGGTTTAAATTGAAGAGGTCTCTTAAAGAGCTCTCATCAGAGTGTCTCTATCTGTTTTTTCATTTATTTGCCTCATCCCCTATGCTAATAGTGAGATCCTAAGGTCTTTTAATCAGCTAGCAAAACTTTTGCTTTCTAATTTTTTTGTATGTGTTAAAGAGGAATAAATGAGAGGGGAGGGAGACAGTAAGGACAGTCTAGAACTTATATTAAAGAACCTTTTTCCAAGGAATTATATGAAGTTTAAATTTGTCTGTTGAATGGCTTGTACATGCTTTTCTTTTGCAAGAGCTGAAATCTTTCCATGTATGTTGAATAAACGTAAATAAAGTCGTCTTCACTTGCATGAGTGATTTTGAAGACAAGTCATTCCTTCTTAGCATAATTTACAAACACAGTGCTGAATAAAGAGTGCCTATTACTGAAGGACTCTGTTTTGCAGAGGTGACTTGTTTGATTTTTATATAGCCAACAATCGTATTTCTCTCCTAATGTGGTTATGTGGAGGATATTGTTAAATAATTGGAGGAGAGTGTCCTTGCAGGAAAGGTGCATGTCCTTGATTTGTAACAGCTGTTACATTTCCCCTCTTTAGGGTCCTATAGAATATTTACCATTTAATCAGTGCAGTGCTCCCGAGAAGACAGTGCTATTAATTCCATTTTCTAGAGGAAAGGACAGAGACAAATTTTTACTTTTTTTTTTCTTTTTTTCTTTTTTTTTTTTAAAAAAGAAATTATTTCCCTCTTGTTTCTCCCAAAGGCAATATGGCATATTGATGAAAGAACCAACTTTAGACCTTGAGGTTTTCATACAAGCTAGTCCAGGATCCTTGCTGCCCAGCCCTTACATGCAAGACAAATTGATGTTTTGCAGATCCATTGCAGAATAAGGCAAAGCAAGACAAAACTTTTATCAAACCGAGTGCATTATAAATAACAAGTCTCACTAGTAGCTACAGCTATAGAATTTGTTTTTATTCCCTCTGCTTTCTAAGCTTCTAATAATACTTACATAAGGAACGTATCTGATACTTCTTGTAAGGCTTCGTGTGTAGTTTCCATGTGTTGAAGAATAAAATGGCCACGTTGTACATACAACTGTGGTGATTTTTATAAGCCAGTTATAAATATTTTAATTGAAAGTGCTTTTCCATCCATTTTAGTAAATGAATGAATAACGTATTGTATAACCTCTGACTGCTAGGCTCTTTGATTTGTTTTTTGTTTTTTTGTTTGTTTTTTTTTTTTCCTCAGTGACTGTAGAGGCTGGTACTGCAAGAGGCGATCCCTCTGCAGCTGGTACAGGATGATTTATAAGCATGTTTCATTAGCACAGCACCATACTTTGCATAGCTAAGGGACTGAAGATGAGTTTAGGGAGAAGTTTTCATTTACTGTTTTGAATAAGTGAGATGTGCATGGAAGTTTAGCATGAGTTCTGTTCCTACAGGTATCTGCAAGAAGTAGGCTACACCGACACAATATTGGATGTGAAGTCAAAACGAGTACGAGCTTTATTGGGCCTCTCAAGTGATGCTTCAGAGAAGGAAAACAGAAATCAAGAGCCAATGGTAAATGGCACAGAGGGCCAGATTAAAGAAAATGCAATGATTGGGTAAGCATCAAGATAACATCGTTATCTTTCTGCATAAATGCACTTAATGGTGTAGAACAAATTTTTGTTTACTGAGAAGATTTCAGGATTTTTTTCCCTAGTTTGAGATAAGAGCAATTCTAACTAATTTTATTACATTAAACAATAAGTATAGAAGTAACTCTTAAGATTCACAGCTTAAAAGCACTAGAAGTTTTTTTTCAGTTGGATGGCAGCACGAAGTCTAATCAAGGCTCTTTGAGATATGATTGCTAAGTGGTTAGAGGTCAGTGCTGTTTCAAGTTAATGGTTTATTTGTATTGCTGGAAACTTTACTGTATCGATTACAGGCTTTACTCTTCTGGTCTGTGCTGGCTATGACATGATTATCCATATGAGAGATAGGATTTTTTTGACTGGATCTGAAAAACAAAGTCACTTGTTACATTTTGATTCCTGTAAGTTTTTGATTTTCCACTAATGGATGGATATACCTATGTAAATGTGACTGAAATGTAAGGTATTAATTTCTGTCTTTCAGTATTTCTAATACTATGAACAGTTAGTCAAGGAGAGTAAAGCCTTGTTGTCCTTACTTTTGCTTTTAAGTAATGTTGAAAACATAAGAGGCTTTTTTCCATTTTCTTATCTTTGCATAGAAAAGCTGAAAAAAAAAAAGTAAGTTAAATCTGAAACTTAGCTGTAGAGGCTTCAGGAAAACAATCTGTTTGCTCTTGTTTAAGATACCATAGTTGCAGAACTTGAAAAATAGTGAAAATGATGCAGCATTATTTGTCCGAACAAAACATGAGGTAGCTATTCCCAGTAGTTTCTGCATAGCTTTCCTCAAAGATGCTCCTTCATTTTTTCTTTTGTATATTGATGTCGCAAAATTTAAGACCTTTTTTTTCTAAGGTCTAATACTGTTATATGACACATTCTGTCTTTTAAAAAGCATTTGTAAAATTTCATTATACCCAGCAGATAGCTGCAGCAGCTTCAGGCCAACAAGTTGCATAAGGGCAGAAGTTCATTGTTGTGTAATTAAATTTAATGCTGTGAGGTGGAAAATTTGAACGTATGAGAAAACCCGCAAGCTATTAAAATATATTGTGCTGCTATGTAGTTGACAAGCCGTGTCGTTTATGTACAGCAGCTTTGTTTTTGCAGAACAAGGAATGCTTGATAGATTACAATAACAATTTTCGTTCGATTTCTGGTGAAGGGGTTGCTTCTTCTCGGAAGTGGGTAAATAAAGCTCCTCTTACACTTTAAAATTTTTAAATGTGTTTACTTTGGTTTTGGAATGGATATATTTATAAGTAGTTATGTGATGGATGAAATGGTTGGACAGTGGTTTTGACATAACTGTTCTGGATACATTTGGATTTCTTTCCTGTCTACTTGCTTCTGGGTAGATCTAATACTCGGTTTAACATTTTGTAGTCTACCCTATGGCTGAGGATATTCACTGGAGGAGAAGAATGAGATCCCTTCCATTGTGGCTTTGCAAGCTTGTCAGCTGCAAGGCTGGTTGGGCTGCATGGTTTGAGAAACTGTTTTCATCTCACTTGCGATGCGTAAGATGGCAGACTGGCTTAGAAAGCTTAGAGGCGTGTTTTCATACATGATATGCAAGAAGTGACTTCAAGGTTTTACAGGGGAAGACTTTTCCAGGGATCTTGTTCAACGTAGTCACATCAGTCTTCATGGGTAATTCTGACTTTGTGGGTGCCCGCTGAGATCTCCCTCACTGAGCAGAAAAAGTTGGGATTTTACTGAAATTCCTTGGTCAATCTGAGTATGGGACACACTTTCAGTGCTGTGATTCTTCAGGGCATTTCAAGTATGCTTTCAGACCATCTCTTTCAGTTTTCTATGGAGGAAGCTTTCTGTGGCTTTCTTCCTGGCAGAGACTGCCTGTTATTTAACAGCTATTTCATTTTGTGCTACTAGATACTGTAAAATGTTACACCTCTCTGTTTCTGTGCCATGTGGCACTGTTCACCTCCTCCCAACTGCATCATCACTTCCCTTTGAGATTTCAAAGTGCAGCTTTATGGCAGATGGGAAGTCAGAAACGTGATGTTGTTCTTGATTAGCTTGCACTTCCCTGTTACCTGCCTCGTCTCTTGTCAGCATTCCTTAAACATGTGTAGAACAGCTTCTTTTTGAAGAGTATTAGCATTGAATAGGTGACTAAGATTTAAGGCACATGGATCTTGCTCCTGATCCCAGTTGGAATTCTTACTGAGTTTTTTTTAAAAACTTAATTCAATGCTTTTCTACCTGGTTGGAAGAACTGGGAAAAATTTAGGTGGCTCAACTAAAATCTGGCTCACGGTCAGGGTAGGGGCACTCTTTGAAGTAGTCTCACTAGTGCTAGGCTGCTTACTGGGAGGGCAAAAACATTGGCGGTTCTTTTAGCCACCTCTTGTTATTCCCAGCGTGCATGTCAAGTGAGAAGAAGATTAGGGCCACAGCAAGCTTGTGTGGTTGGAAAGGGTGAGATGAACAAGTGCCCGCAGTTTGGTAGTGGCAGAGGAGGAAAGTTATGGTGAGAAACTGGAAGAACAAGAAACCACCCAAGACCTTAGTGCAGTCCTGGGAAGTTTAAGGACATACATGTGTGTTTGCCAGGACCACCAGACATTGGGACCGTTGCAAACTAAAATGCAGATGGAAGACGCTCTGTGGCTCTACAGATACAATGAAACTCTTTGTAGGAGAAAGCTTTGCTTTCGGGAACAGGAAAATGGAAGGCACTTTAGCTTTAAATTTCCTTTAAGATTTCTCTATATAACAATGGAAATTGCAAAAAGAACAGATTGGCTAAACTGCCTTCTGTACAACTGAACACTCGTGATAAATCTCAAAGAAAGTTTTAAAAGTGGTAGATGCTTTTATGCTGCTGTATGGTTACCTCTTGGGGGGGGAACAGGAAGCAAGACTTCCTTTATGTTTTGACTGTCATTTATTGGTAATCAACCAATACTTTCTCAGTGAAAGTGGTGAACAAAACAAATTGGTACTGAGAGAAATTCCAGTAAAAGAATGGAAGAGCTGATGTACTTCTCAACACAGTCTGGTTTTAGCACGATTTTGTGTAAGCCCATTAATCTGTGTATTGTGCTTGTTGCTGCAACTCAGCCTCCTTCAGCAATACCTCTGGTCTACCTGTGACTGTACTTCTGACAACACCAGGCACCCACACTTCTCTTGTTTTCTTTTTTTCTTTTTTTTTTTTTTTTTTTTAATTTTGGTGTGGGGGAATGCCTGTGATTTGTTTTAAGGGTAGGCCCTGGCATTTTTTCCTCTGACCCCAGGGACATGTGAAGTGTATACTTTGTGGTGGGTAGGGAGGATATTCTTCCTCTGCCCAGCTCATTACATTTACAAATTTTTACAAGTTAAATGTTACACCAGTTATACCTTCTTCTTGGACACTCAGTGCTGTGATATTGACAGTAAGTTGAGCCTTTTTATGGGAAAGGCTGATGAGAATGTTTGGGGTGATTATTGTGAAGCTGGTGCTGGTTGCTTTGGTATGTAGAAGCAGTAGTTGTTGTGCAATACTTAAGAAAATAATATTTATTTGCAGCAGACAATACTTAACTTGAATTCTGCTAGGCTCCAGTTATTTTAGCGAATTGCTATCTGGTCTCTCATACCTCTCAGCTTAATTTTGTGTATCTTAGAGGGTTGCAGTTACATCAGAGAACTCCCCCCACCTCTTTGGGGTTTTTTTCTTCTTTTGGTGCAGTGATGAACAAACTACTGTTGTCTGAAAGTCTTTTAAAACCAAATCAGTTTCTCTTCTTACTATTAGGTGAAGTAGCCTTAGTCTTTATGTGTTACTAGCTGCTATATCTGTGGCCAAACTTGTGTTCTTACATTGCCTATTTATTTGCTAATATACAGATCCTCTTGAAAACTTTAGCACTCAAGACATCATATGGATTTTGAATGCACCCTGCAAGATTTTGATTCCGTAAATGAAATGTTAATATGATAACCTGAGATAGATATAGTCCTGTTTCCACTTATTTCATGGATTTTAAAAGGGAATCTGTTCTCAGTTTCTTCAATCGGCTCACTTGCATTACAAAAGATAAGTACCACTTGGCATGACTGGACTCAAAAATAGATACTAAAATAATAACTTTATAATAATGATTGAAATTCTTAACACCTGCAGTGAGAGGAATGGGTGCTTTCACCAGCAAACAAGCAGAAATGAAAGCTGCCTGCAAATGTCAATTGTAGCCTTGAAAACATGAGAGTATTTAAGTATCTTTGGTTCACTTATTACCTCATTTTTTAATAGTTTTATCTTACTGACTGAAACCTGAACGGTCAAATTAGTTTACCTTCTTGAAGGTGTGTATTTGACTACCATTTGATATGAGTGGAAGCAAATATAATGAAGGAACAGAACTGGAAAGGAATGAGGGTATACCAAGCATATGTATGTGTGTACACATATATATGGATGTGTGTATATATAAAAACAATATAGGTTAGAATTATCTGAGTTCTTGTAAGGATTTGATCATTAAAACTATGTTTAAATAGCCAATAGAAACTTTTTAAAGAAAAATGATCCTGAATCAGTGTCTCTCTGAAACTGATCTACTGCCCTTTTTATTTATTGAACCGTGTACGGCTTCCACTGCCTATACTTTATGTGAGCAAAAAGGCATCGAACTTCAACATTTAAGAGCAAATCCAAAGACCTTTTCAAAGATTAAAATTAAACATTTTGAAGACCTTATCCTTCTGATATACAACAAATCGTTCCAAACTGACACTTCAGCGAATGAATGTCTTTCTATACCAGAAGGCCTTGAATAACTCTTTTGCGTCTCTAAATCCTATTAACACTGACCCATGTAATGAAAATGCTGCATACTGGCTGATGAATGTTGTGTGTTGACTAGCTTATAAAATGGTTTATTTGGGAAAATGTCTCTGAATTTAACAACCTGATATAACATCTGCCATGAAAAAGATTTCCAAAA